TACACCTCTTTGCTCGCCTGGGCTTCCACCAAGTGGCTATAGGCCACAAGCCATTGCGCACTGATGTGAGTCCCAAGTCCCACCAGCATGCTGCATGCTCATCGTCAAGGTGCAAAATAACAGTCGTTTTTTTTTTTTTTTTTTTTTTTTTTTTTTTTTTTTTTTTTTTTTTTTTTCCAGCTGTAAAATACGGCAACGTGTAACAGGCTCCTGTTAGAAACATTAGAGCAGTTTCAAAAATACGGTCGTATTTTTGCACCTTGCTCATGGTGCATGATAAACAGTCCCCTACGAGTTACACCTCTTTGCTCGCCTGGGCTTCCACCGTGTGGTCGTGGGGCACAAACCACTGCGCACCGATGTGAGTCCGCATGAGCACTCTGCACCCTCCATGCACGCTGCATGCTGCACAGTACCCTCCATGCACGCTGCATGCTGCACAGTACCCTACGAGTTACACCCAGCTTCCACCGTGTGGTCGTGGGGCACAAACCACTGCGCACTGACATGGGTCCGTATGAGCACTCTGCATGCTGAACATTACCCTACGAGTTACTCCTTGCACACCAACCAGTAGGCTTCACCAAGTGGCTCTAGGCCGCATGCACGGTGTTTGACCCATTCTCTGCTCATCTCTGCTCATTTCGTTTTATCTCTGCAGGTGGCCCTGGTCTCGCTTCTAGCAACTATTAAAGAGGAGGTTGGGGATTGGTGAGAACAAACACTATGCCACAGTGCCACTGCACACGATTTTGCTGTGAAGGATAGTTCTGTACCATACTAAAAAATGTTATATTGAGGCAGTTGCATTTGTCCAGGGCCCTAGATTCGTTTTAGGACACGCTGTTGGGTCAGAGTACACCCTCATCTAAACTCTGTCAGTCAGACTTGCATGCAATATGAAGTCAGAAAGTTCAGACTTCACTATTTTTTTTGGCTGAAATTTCAGAGTTACACTAAGTTTGTAGGCTGCCGGTTTTATATACATTGAAAACACTTCAACTATCTGAATCAGATTCTATCACATGTGACACTACTCCAGCTGCCGGCTGAACTACTGGCTCCTCTGCAGCCTCCTTCCCAGCTCTCTGGGGCTCCCTGTGTCTTGCAGCAGGTGCCGTCACTGGCCGGCGTTTCTTATAGCTGCGCCAGATCTCTACAACCCCCGGCACGTCCAGCTCATAGTCTAGCATAGACATACACAGCAGGTCACTGAGCCTACAGTCTTTTAAACTACCCCTCTGCCACGTCTTGATGAGATTCTGGCGAGAGAATCCTCTCTCGCACTCGACGGTGCTGAGAGGCAGCACTGCAACCGCCACCCAGAGTCTGACGAGGTTGGGGTAGGCTTGCTCCCAGTCATGTGTCTTGAGGATTGCAGTCAATCCCGTGTTGAACTTGCGCTCGCTCTTAGGGGCTCTGGCCAGGACTGGGCACAGAGTCCGCAGCTCCTTCACAGCACGCTTCTTGTCAATGCCTGCAACATAGGACACGGCGAGAGATTAGTACGGAGCGGTTTAGCCAACAGTCGAACGAGCATCACTTCACTAACTGACCTGGCAAAATCTCTTCGCGGTCGTCGGCGCGGAACAGAGTGACTAGCGGCAACAGCCACTCAAGGCATTGTGCCTGCCGTGCACTCCTCTCCCAATTCGGAGGCCACTCGTCAGGTATGAATAGCCGCACGCCAGACAGAGAGTCGAGGTCTCCGAGCTTAGACTGAAGCTCCTCGACGAGGCCCTCGACAAAGTCAGTGCAGAGCGCAACACACGCATCGTGATGACCCGCCCCAAGATAGTTCGCCACTCGGCGCTCGTGAAGGGTGATCTTGAAGCGGTTGAGACTCCCATTCGACGACGCGCCTTCCACCACCATCTCTGGTGTCCCCTGCCGCTCGTTATGCCCGCCGCCGAAGTCATCTCCGCAGTCGATGTACCGACTCTCCAGGAGAGATGTTGTGCTCACAATCTGTGTGTGCACCAATGGGTAGTCGAGCTGCCACATCATAACGAAGTTTTAGTTAGAGCACGGTTTCCGGCTTAAAAAAAACACAAGATTACTCAACTTTCTTACCTCACGATGCTGGAAAACCTTCGAGAGGATGTTGAGGAGGTCCAGAATGTCCGCGAGGAACCGAAGCAGAAACTGAAACCGGTAGGACGTGACGAGCTCGTACATCGTCTGGTCCTTCCACTCTGACAACATCACCATGATGGCTGGGAGGACCTCGACGAAGCGGGCGACCGCAACACCCCTTGAAAGCCACCGCACCTCGTGGATCCCCTGCACCTCGAGGTTGGTGGAGGTAAATACCTCATGCAGGTCCATGAACCGTTGATGCCACGGTGATGATCGCCCCAGGTACTCAGCGACAGCACGAATTACGTCGTCCACCATGTTGAAAGTGGGTATAGACTATGCAGCGGCTTTGGCAGCCAATGCCTCCCTGCAAGACGTACAAACAAGCATGATTAGCATCGTATGTTACTGTTAAACGACTAAACAAACAATAAAACAACAACAACAACGCACCTGTGAGCGATGCAGTGGAACGAAACCAGGTTGGGGATGAGCATCCGAAGACGAGCCACCACACCGGTGTGGACTCCCACCATCACCATCGCGACGTCCGTGCTCACTCCCGAAATACGGTGGAGGTCCACGCCGACAGCCCTGATGTGGGAGAGCAACAAACTACATAGGGATGCAGCGTCAGCTTTCTCAACCGTGAGGTGAGCAAAGAACTCAGTCACAACTTGCTTGTCGCGCAGGAAGGTTGCAAACACGATCATGTGTTTGCCGCGCCGCCGGTCTGTGCTCTCGTCCAGGGTGATCTCGATGAAGGGGCTCGTCAGAAGGTGTTCCAGCTGTGTTGTTTGGAGCCATGTTGAAATTGCCTGTGTTAACTCTCCAAACCCGTACCTATATAAAAAAAACAAGACCAGAGGCAGTTAGTGACTGTGAGTTAGAAGAAATCAACGATTCGGTGGTTACAACCGCAATAAACTTACGTGTTGTAGTACGTGCCGTAGCTCTGCTCTGCAAAGCCGGGCACCTTCTTCTTCGCGAGATAGCGCACAAGCCGAATCCAAGCGTCCATGGGCTCGTTGCACGAGCTCGTGAAGTACAGCGACTCCACTAGCGCTGAGATCTCCAACATCTCCTTGTCCTGCGCTTTCGGGTGTAGGTCGATGCGATGTTGATCGCCATACTTCTGGAGGAGGTCCTCCTGCCGCTTCAGTGCAAAACGATGCTTCACCGTGCCTTCATGCTTCTTGAAGGCCTGCGTCTGCACGTCGGTCGCGCCCTCACCACCCCGTCCACACTTGCCTGTAAGTCCTGCAAACTCCAGGCAAATGCTGCACTTAAAACTTGGGGCACCGGTATAGGTTTTAGTTAGAATAAGCCCGTCGTATCGGTAGACCACTTTGTTTTAAAACGAAAGTGTGCTTCTTCGTATTTCAACTCCAACTTATCGGAGTCAGACTTGTCGGTGGGCTTTGAGCTGCCCTGCATGGGAGATTCGACTCTCGCTGGAGCTTCAACGGTCGATGGAGGAGGAGTTGCCCACGGAAACGTGGTCTGACGGTAACGCAGCTTCGACGGTGGTGCGGGACGGGATGGTGCTTCAGCGGACGCCTCATTGGGCACAGACTGTGGCTCAGCTTCGACCGGTTCAGTGACGGCTGTGGGGACAGGTTCAGGTTGAACGGAAACTGGAGGACGGCTAGAGCTAGGTTGCGACGGTGGAGTAGTCGGTGGGACATGCGTCGGCAAGCATGCTCGTAGAAAGTCCAGGCCGGTCACTGCGTCTGACGCAGGCCGTCGATCTGTCTCGTCATCATCATTGGGCGATTCGGCGGCAGCGCCTGTGGCTACCATGAGTCTGCCGAGCACTGGTTTTGCGAGAGCGAGGGAGAGTCAGAAACAAGGGTTCCAGCAATACTATCTGGCGAAGAAATTGAATGAGGCGAGAGAAACAGGGCACGGAGTGACCCCCACGAAGGGCGACGATGAGGAAGATGAGGTCCTCGTATTTGGATCGCTCATCTCCTTGCTGGTCACTGCACTGCATGCACGGCACCTGGTCGTGGGTGCAGGGAAGGTGGGGTGACTGGGGTGGATGGATGTGGTCACGTGAGAGCTGCAGCGCGCTGCGAGCTATGCGTTGGCACGGTGGACGTTGGAGGGGGGTGGGTGGTTGTAGTGTTGTCCGGGTGCAAGCTACCGTATGCGTTGGCAGGGAATCTTGCCAACACTGCCTGCTGCGCTGTAGCGATTGGCTGGAATTGAGCCAGATTACAGCATCCCTGGCCCAACGCGACTGTGCGGTACGGTGCCGCGCTCGGGAAATGTTCCGTTTCCCGCCCGTGATTGACGGTGTTAGTGAAAACACGCCGCCAGGCTGGCGGACGCCTGCAGTACCCGTTTCAGAGTGCACCCCCGAAACGTGCCTGAGGCTCAGCCTACACCCCTACATTTTGTCTGAAATTTCAGCCACTACATTAAAAAAACTCTGACAAATCAGAGAATGTACATTAAAAAAAAACTTTCAGTTCAGACCTGGTACCTAAAAAATGTCTGAATGGACGCTGAATCAGCGTAAAAAGTCTAATATCTAGGGCACTGCATTTGTCTATGTGCACAACACTCATTCACCATTTATTCACCTAGCAACTGCCTAAATGCTGCCTACTACTTTGATTTATCTGCTCTGAAAGAAGCAGCAGCTACAGTGGCAGCATTTGCCGGGTAGGAGCAGCACCGCCAGTGTTGCTGCCAGCAGCAGCCCTGCCTTTCTTCTTCACTACACCCACCATGCGTCACACGTAAGCACCTATGTGCGACGCATTTCTCACTTTAAGTGTGGGTTTATCTGCTCTGAGAGAAGCAGCACCACCTGCAGTCGCAGTACTTGCAGTGGCGCCACCAGTGGTAACAGCAGCATCAGCAACTGTACCCTTGTCATTCTCAGCACCCACCATGCGCCTCACTGCTGTCTAGGCTGTGGGTTTACCAGCCCTAAGACGGGCAGCAGTTGCAGTGGCAGCATTGGCAGTGGCAGCGGGGGAGGCAGCAGCACCGCCTGGAGAAACAGCAGCCGGGCCTTTCTTCTTCACTGCAGCCACCATGCGCCGCACGTACCCTATATAAGCCTCCACGTCAAACTTCCTCTTGCACCCCGCTGCGTTCATATAACGAATCTTGCCAAACACTTTGCGCTCCGCCCAGCCCTGGATGTGCAGGGAGAGAAAGGGGGGGGTAGGGGAAGGGGAAAGTGGAATGAGTGCTGAACAGTGCACCTCTTCACACCTAATTTCACCCACCTGGATTCATTACATACCAAACCACCTTATGTTCCGCCCAGCCCTGAGCAAAAGGGTTCGAGTAGGAAGGAGCGTGGCAGAAGCGATGTGAGCGTGCACTTGTCAGGTCGTGCACTACCAAAGTACGCATTCACCGTACCTGGTCGTGCACTAGCGAAGTACGCATTCACCGTACCTGGTCGTGCACTAGCGAAGTACGCATTCACCGTACCTGGTCGTGCACTAGCGAAGTACGCATTCACCGTACCTGGTCGTGCACTAGCGAAGTACGCATTCACCGTACCTGGTCGTGCACTAGCGAAGTACGCATTCACCGTACCTGGTCGTGCACTAGCGAAGTACGCATTCACCGTACCTGGTCGTGCACTAGCGAAGTACGCATTCACCGTACCTGGTCGTGCACGCCCGCAATGGACCACATGCAGCCTACATAGCCGTTGGGATCGCGACCGTCCAATGAGTACTGTGGTGGGGATGTGAGACGCGGACGAGGATGGGGGTGGGGTTGGGGACGGAGTTGGGGAGAGGATGGGGGGACACGGATGTGAGAGGAAGGAACGAGGGAGCTTAGAAGGCGAGCTTGTGAGGGGATTGGTGGCGATATAAAACGTGGAGCAATAGGGGCAGGGGGGGCGGAAAAGAGGTGAGAGCAGGAAAAGCAGGTAAAGGAGAAGATGAAACGAGAGGAAAGGAGAAGATGAAACGAGAGGAAAGGAGAAGATGAAACGAGAGGAAAGGAGAAGATGAAACGAGAGGAAAGGAGAAGATGAAACGAGAGGAAAGGAGAAGATGAAACGAGAGGAAAGGAGAAGATGAAACGAGAGGAAAGGAGAAGATGAAACGAGAGGAAAGGAGAAGATGAAACGAGAGGAAAGGAGAAGAGAGGAGAAGGCAATGGGAAGATAGCAGCGAGGAGAAGGGAAGCCAGAAAGGACGAATTAGCTATGCCATAATCTCCTCATCTTCTCCACTCCACGCACCTTATCATTCTGCTCGATTGCTATTCTGAGAGCTTCCTCTGGTGACTCAGACCACTCTAGAATCTTCTTCGCCCAGTACATGCTGCCACACAAGAGGGAGAGAGGGGGGGGGGGGGGGGTGGGGGATGGAAAGCAAAGACAAGTTTGAGAGCTCTCAGAAGTGACTTGGATATATGCCCAGTGAATGCTGCACACATGAAGGAGGGGAGAATGAGAAACGGGAAAGCGGGTGGAGGAATGTGGTTTGGAGGTGAAGGTACAGAGTGGCCGCTTCAGCCTCTCATACTGCAGAGACACACTGGAGACAGCAACTCTCCTCACTGATCCTAGCCGCTCCTCATCGCACCTCATCGCACCTCATCGCACCTCATCGCACCTCATCGCACCTCACGCACCTCATTGCACAATCCATGACTTATTGCACCATGCCGCACAAGCCACTGCCATGCTAGCAGCTTTCTAGCAGAGTTGCGTAATTCCTCACCTGCAACACCTGCTGCCTTCTTCCCCTCTCTGACCACTCGCTACCAGCCTACCACGCTTAACCATGCTTCACCGCACTGAATCCACGTCTCACCGCATGAAACCGTGCATCTTGCCGTAGTGAACCAGCTCCAGCTGAGCGGCGTTCCACAGCTGGCATGTGGTGCAAGAAGTGGGGTTGCAAACAGGGAGGTGGGAGTGGTGGGATGGAAAACCTATATCAAGGGGTGAGAGTGGGCGAAATAGGAAGAGAAGTGATGTGAGGGGAAGGGGGACACGGAGGGTCGAGAGGGTCTAGAGGGTCAAGAGGGTCAAGAGGGTCAAGAGGGTCAAGAGGGTCAAGCGTGTGTCAAAGCAAGTCATGGAAAGCGCAATGCCCAGGAGTTACCACTCGTAGAGGGCCCACTTGCCATTGTGTTACCTGGTCGTGCGTCTTGGCTGCTTCCCACTGCGCTGCCCTGCACCTCACACACAGTAGGGCAGATTTGATACGCATGGCAAGCACAAGAAACAAGAAATCGAAATCAAATGCCCGGGAATCATACAGTGGCCAATAGAAAAACAAGGAAACAAAATAATTGATGGAACGTTGCTCTAACACCATCCACCGTCGCCCTTTCTTTCCCTTTATGCCCCCACCGTTGATTTATCCTCCCCTCCCACTCACTCACTCGCGAGTACACAAACTCGCACTTGTCCCCCCGGTGCTCATTCAGTGATCGCTGCGCCCACTCCCATGCGCCCCCCGGCGAGTCGTACAGCGGCTGGTGAAATGGAAGCACAAGAGAGACCCTTTCCCTTCCGCTCCCCCTTTCCCTTCCGCTCCCCCTTTCCCTTCCGCTCCCCCTTTCCCTTCCGCTCCCCCTTTCCCTTCCGCTCCCCCTTTCCCTTCCGCTCCCCCTTTCCCTTTCCTCCCCACTCACGTGTAAACAAACTCTCTCTTGTCTGCGCGGTGTGCGTCCAGGGATTGCTGCGCCCACCCCCACGCGCCCCCCAGTGAGTCGTACAGCGGCTGGTGGAAGCAGTAGTTGTCCGCCAGCTCCCTCCGCACCACCAGCTCCTCTAAAAACGCGTCCACTGCCTGATGGGGGGGGAGGGGAGGATGGAGGAAGGGGGAAGGGGTGGGTGGAGAGGGGCGGGGGGAAGGGGGAGCGAGGAGCGATAAGGAAGGGTCCGCGCTGGTGGAAGCAGCAGTTGTCCACCAGCCCCCTGCGCACCACCAGCTCCTCTAGAAACGCGTCCACTGCCTGGGGGGGGGGGGGAAGGGATGGAGCGGGAGATGGGGGAAGGTGGGTAAGAGGAAGGAGGAGCAAGGGGCGAGGGGGCTGGTGGAAGCAGTAGTTGTCCGCCAGCTCCCTGCGCCCCACCAGCTCCTCTAAAAACGCATCCACCGCCTGAGAAGGGGGGTTATGGGGGAGACACGGACAAGAAGAGGTTGGGGAGCAAGAGGCAAGGGGGTTGGTGGAAGCAGTGGGTATCTGCCAGCTGCCTCCGCACCACCAGCTCTTGTAAAAACGCGTCCACTGCTTTTTGAGAATTCTCAAAAAACAGATTCAGCCTAATATCACCCACTCGGGCCTAATATCACCCTCCCCCGGTTTCAAGTGGGCCCCGGTGTCATGGCACCTAATTGGGGCCCACTCGGGCCTAATATCACCCTCCCCCGGTTTCTTGTAGAAACGCGTCCACTGCCTGTTGGGGTTGGGGGGGACGTGGATGAGGAGGCGGGGCAGGTGGATAAACGAGTGATTGCTACGCCTGGATAAACAGAGGAGAGCCGTTGCTCTGGAGTCCACATTTCACCCGATTTTGAGAATTCTCAGAAGCCACTTCACCCTGCTACCCTTCTCACCTTGCTGTGCTGCTTCCTCAATTGTCTCGCCTCCAGGGCGCATCGCTGGGGGGCAATCTGCCCGTAGTGCAGCCAGGGGGAGAGCCCCGACAGAACCCACTGCTGCTACCCTCCTCACCTTGCTGTGCTGCTTCCTCAGCTTCCTCGCCTCCAGGGCGCACCGTTGGGGGGCGACCTGTCCGTAGTGCAGCCAGGGGGAGAGCCCCGACAGGGTGGTGGGACCCTTAGACGGGTCGTTGCGCCCGCTGTCGTACCCCCTCAACCTCTTGTCTAGAAACGTCTTCAGCCCTGCTGCTGCTGCTGCCTCCCCTGCGACTATCCAGTCAACCTCTGGTACCTCGGGACCAGCCCTGCAGGTAATGCATACGGATGAGTAGGTGATGGAAGGGAGATGAATGGAGTAGCTGTGTTTCACGGTTTCGTGTGGTAAAGGAAACCTCACTGCAGTTGCTGCGACTGCCTCCCCCAAGAGCCATCCAGTCCACCTCTGGTACCTCGGGATCAGCCCTGGCAGCGGTATGTATACGGATGACATAATGGGGGGAGGGAGAGGGTCTGTTGTGGTGAAGGGCGAGGAGGAAGGGATCATGAGCCTCGCTGATGCTGCTGCACTTGTTGCCTTGCCGCTTCCTCCCCCAGGATTGACCCATCCATCTCTGGCGCCTCGGGACCAGCATTGTTGGGAACATGGATGAATACGGGAGAGAAGGGATACGAAGGACATCTGTTCTACGAGTTCCAGTCCACAGGCATCGGCTTCTCTTCACTACACTACACCACCACACTTTGTAACGAGTCTAACTTTCACCTGATCACAGCAGCTATTAACGAGTCCCAGTCCACAGGCGACGGCTTCTCCCCTGTCCACTCCACAGTGCACCCCGGCTCCAACTGGGGGTACTCCACCAAGTACTCTGGCAATTTCCGGTGTATTTTGGTGCGGATGGTGCGGGCGGCGTACTCTAACTTGTCTGAAGCGGCCCAGATGGGCACCACGTTGTGGGCGTCCACCTCATGCACACCTGTCAGCCCCACCTGCGCGTCCCACAGCTCATCCCTCCCTGCCGTCCCTTCCCTCCCTCCTGCCGCTTCTCCTGCTTCTCCTTCTGCTGCTCTGTCTGCTAATGTGGCCCCTTGCCTGCTGCTGCTGCTGCCGCTTCCTGATTGGCTGAGCTCCAGATCTGCCAGCCTCGCACACACCCCCTCGCGCCAGTGCCTCCCGATGCGCAGCGGGGAGAAGTCGGTGACCAATAGCGACGCGCCACATCGCATTGCAAAGTCCGGAACCGTCTCCTCTGCCTTGCCCTGGGGTTGGGATGGAAGAGAAGAATGAGGTGCAATGAGGCACAATGGCTGCGCTGGAGGTCCCTCAAAAGGCGGACAAGCAAGTCCAGGGCTGTCTCCTCGTTTTGAAGGGCCTCAAAACTGCTTTGCGGCTTGCCTTGTCCCGGGGTTTGATTGGAAGTGAGCAAAAGACGCGGTGCCTTCTGTAAAGTGAGAACAGGAAGTGTGGTCAATCGGACCGAGGCAAGAGCCAATCTGGGCAGTACCCTCCACGACTGTCTTTTGAGACGTCTCAGAAGCAGTACCCTCCACGACTCTCACAGCTTTCATTCGTTTCCAACAGAACCCACACAGCCCAGTGCCACCACTACAGGCACGCTCTTTAGAGTCACCTGGAAGAGGAAGAAGGGGATCCCGAGCGCCGCAAAGGAGCCCTGCACCTCTCTCAGCCCGCGCAGCATGAATGCGAAGTGCCGCGCCTTGGCGCCCAGGAAGGAGTCCACCAGGTTGAACACCACCGCCACTGCCTCTCCCCTCTCCCGCGCCTGGTGTGCGTAAGAGAGGAGAGAGGAAGGGGAGCGGCGGGAAGGGAGAGGGGAAGAGGGGAAAACCTAGAGTCCAGTCTGCGTTTTTGTCCCCAGGAAGGAGTCCACGAGGTTGAAAACCACCTCCACTGCCTCTCCCTTCTCCCACGCCTGTGCCCGCATCGCGGGAATGGGGAGAAGAGGAGGAAGAGGATGGGAGGGAGGGGGGATAATAGGGTTTGAGTCGAGTCACAAGTCGCCTTGAGACCCAGAAAGAAGGTTAAAGACCACCGCCACTGCCTCTCCCCTCTCTTGCGCGTGGTGTGTGCACGGGGAGGGGGGGAAGGGGAACGGGGGGCGCCCGGGGGGGAAGAAGAGGGTAAAGAAGGGAAAAGGTTTGAGTCCACTATGCCGTCCACCAGGTTGAACACCACCGCCACTGCCTCTCCCCTCTCCCGCGCCTGTGTAATGAATGCGGCGCGGGGAGGAGGTATGCGCTAAGGTAAGTAGGGAGGAGTAGGTAGGGGATGTGAAGGGGGCAGAGGGGGCGGGGCGGAGGACAGGGACGAAATAATTGCAAGTAGAACATCTACACGTTACTGTAAGAACCTGTTCAAGTAGAAATAGGAGTGAAGCTGAAACTGCACCTTTTGGACGGCGTAGATGAGAGCCCAATTGTCCTTGGACCGTTGATCTCGCGACATCCAGTACACCACAGGCCCCGTCCGCCGCAGCCCCTTGCGCAGCTCGCGCACCCTCCCCGGATTCACCGCGCCGCCCGTGTCCTTCTGCGCCCATGCCGGCTCCGCATCAAACGGAGACGATCCTACGGCTACGGAGGCTTTCCCGGACCCTAGAGATTTCCCTAAAGTTTTCCCGAGAGATTTCCCTGCGGCCTTTGCTGGCGCTGGTGCGAGACGCTTCTCGGAAGGTTCACTCTGGAGTTGGCGTTTCCCTGATAAGGTTTTGGAAGTTTTGGGAGGCGGCGAAGGGGTGTCTGAAGCGGAGGTGTCTGACTCGGAAGAGATTTCTCGCGGTCGTCGCTTAGGCGCCATGAACGCGATGAACTGTGACGAGACGAATCGGAAAGGAACGAGAGAAGGAGCGGTATGAGGGAGAATTGCGGGGAGGAAGCGCGGTGAAGTGAGTACATGCATTCGTGAAATTCGATCACACTGTGCGACACGAGAATTGATGAACGAGAAAGCTCGGATTTCTGGTCACCTTTACCAGGTCCGATGCTCGAAATTACGAATAAGAGCACCAATGTCGTCGTTAAAGTCTGGGAGAACTCGCAGTGGGCCCAGATGAACTGAGACCACCTTAACTAGTTTTGACAAGCAGATCTGCCCTGCTATTCTACAACTTTAGCGCACAGGCTCAAGCTCTTTGCAAGGAGGCTCCAGCTGAGAAGCAGCCACGATATTAGCTTCACAACCACATGATGCCAGGCCGAGTGAGGGCCACGTCAGCGATGCATATCCAGTACAGTGCGATTTTATTAGAAGCGGCTCGGAAGTCACGGAAAAAAACCACATTTGACGTATTCCTCTACGACATAAGATTATGTCACTACAAACAAGTCTGACCACCTCACATAGGAACTCAACAATTTAAAACATACCATCTCATACATAATTCATGCGTGCATTTTTTTACATTTCTCAAGGCCTTCCTGACATCGTTTCAGCTGTTTAGGCACATTGTATTTATATTCTCTGTTTGGCACATTGGAAGAAGTTATATTAGATAACCTATACACAAGTCTTGTGTATACTTGTTACGGGTGCAATGAATCGAAGTAGCGAGAATTGCACTAGGGTGTCAAATGAGTACAACCATGTGAGCGAAGGCATGAGCGAACATTTATACATCAAACATGCAAACGGTAACGCGGTGCGTGCGAGCTAGCTAGTACTATGCTGGCAGCGAGGCTCGGGCTAGTCCCGAAGCGTAGGTCGACACGATCGGGCCAGAAGAGCGAGGTTTGGCAAAACAGTGCGCGCGAAGTTGGCGAAGTCCCGTTAGCAGTAACGGGTGAACAACGGCTGTTGCTGTACGCAATGTAGTCGGGCTCCGTAAGGAATACCGAGAAAATTCCTTACACTACCCCCCCCCCCCCTCAAGAAGCCCCCTCCGCTACGCGAGTGCGTGTATATCGCGGAATCCCCGGCTCCTCAGGTACACTTGCAGGGCAGGGTGGTTTTCAATGTTGGCCAGGGGCACCCAGCTATCTTCAGTTGGCGTGCGGTCCTTCCAGCGAACGAGGAATTCGATCCTCTTGATTCCCGTGGGGTGTCGAATCCGATGGCTCAGGATTTTTTCGGGCTCGATGATCGGCTCCGATGCAGGGCGGGTCATAGATGGCGGGCGGTGGCGAGGCAGTTGGCTTGTGGTTGGGATGTATGGGCGAAGCAAGCTGAAGTGGAACGAAGGGCTGATGTACCAGTCGGTCGGTAATAGTAGGTGCGCGGTTACTGGCGTGATCATGTGGTTGATTTGGAATGGGTCACAGTAGCGCGGTCGAAGTTTTGGTACGTCGGGCAGTCGCAGATTTTGCGTGTCGAGTAGTACGTAATCCCCTGACTCGTATGTGACTCGGCGGCGGTGGCGGTCAGTGTTGCGCTTAGCGATGACGTTTGCCTTTTTAATTGCTTCTGCGGCTCTAGTGCGGGCAGCTTGCAGAATTTTGACGAATTGCTGTGCACGTGGTGTTGGGTTGTCCGGACTTGGCGTCATGGGCACTGTAGGGTTTTGCCCGTAGTTCAGGTAGAAGGGGGACTGCTGCGTTGTCGCTGACGTGGCATTGTTGTACGCAAACTCGATCAGCGGCAGCTGCTGCTCCCAAGTCGTAGGGTCCTCGCACCTGGCACGAATCAACTGCTCCATCGTCTGATTCGTCCACTCCGTTTGACCGTCGGTCTCGGGGTGATACGACGAACTGAACTGTAGCCTGGTCCCGAACTGCTCCCAGAGGTTCTTCCAGAAGTTGCTGGTGAACTTCGTGTCCCTGTCGCTGATAATCACTGCTGGTATCCCGTGCAGGCGAACAACGGCGACGATGAACAGACCAGCGGTCTACTCGGCTGAGATTGACCCGCCTTCCGCTTCCTCGAGCTTTTCATCATCTGACACGTGGGGCACGAGCCCACGTGCTGCTGTACATCGGTCAACAGCTCCGGCCAGTAGTAATACCGCTGCAGTTGCTGTCGCGTTTTTTCTACCCCAAGAAGCGTCTCCGTGACCTGTGAGGACCACTCGACGTCGCCCTCCAAGCACTAGCCCCATGCGTGACGTACTACACACGTAGCGCAACACCCTCTTGGCTGCAGCCATGTGCTCTGGTCGGTGTCTCCCAGGAGCAACATAGCGTGCCAAGATGCTAAGAGGGTATGCAAGGTCAGGTCGTGTGCAGGTCATCAAGTACATGAGGCAGCCAATAAGCTCTGGGTACGTGCCAGTCGACTCTACGAACTCATCCGAAGGCAGAGCTGAGAGCGAGTGGTGAGTAGACAGAGAAGTGGCTTGAGGCAAGGAGTACGTGAAGCCGAAGCGCTGAAGGACCTGCCGCACCATGTCTGACTGAGTCAGGGTAATGGTGCGCTGTGCTCTGTCCCGAGTGATCTGCACTGCGGTGACTTTGTGATCCACCCTGAGCTTGCTTTGCTTTGCTTGACTGGTCTTGTGACCACTTCTTCTCCCCAACTTTGCCTATGGAGGTGTGTCAGAACATTATAGCTTATACATTTATGTAGGCTGTAGTGGGGTAGCCCATAAGGGGTACAACCCAATTAGGGTTAGTACTTGTACCCAACTCTTTCATAGTTCAATCATTCTCGTTTCTCATCATGGTATCGAGCATGTTCCCGAATGGGAATGCTGCCTAGGGCCCACCACGATTTTTTTTTCCTGCCTGGAGAGCGCTTCACTCCTACCCGAGTCGCGTTTCGTGTGCCCTACCTACCCTCGAGCCGCCCTTAGCGGCCCCTTTGACCGCCCTTACGGCCCCTCGTGCCGCCCTCTAAGGCCCCTCGCGCCGCCCTTACGGCCCCTCGCGTCGCCCTCTAAGGCCCCTCGCGCCGCCCTTCTGGCCCCGCCTAGGCCCCTTACGGCCCCTCCGCGGCCCCGTCTAGTCCCCTTGCGGCCCCGTCTAGACCCCTCCGCGGCCCCGTCTGGCCCCTTTCGGCCCCGTCTAGGCCCCTTTCGGCCCCGTCTAGGCCCCTTTCGGCCCCACTTAGGCCCCCTTTCGGCCCCGTCTCGGCCCCTCTACGGCCCCGCCGCCACCTGCGGCCCTCGCCGTCACCCGCGGCCCCGTCGCCCTACCCTAGCGGCCCCATCACCGCTCCGCCGCCCAGCGACCGAGCCGCCGAGCAGCACAACAGCCGAGCCGCCCGCCTACCGGCAGCCGTGCCGCCCTGCAGCCGAGCCGCCCCGCAGCCGAGCCGCCCCGCAGCCGAGCCGCCGAGCAGCCAAGTCGCCGAGCAGCAGAGCCGCCCAGCAGCCGAGCCGCCCCGCAGCCAAGTCGCCGAGCAGCCGAGCCGCCCAGCAGCCGTGCCGCCCAGCAGCTGAGCCGCCCAACAGCCGAGTCGCCCTGCAGCCGAGCCGCCTTGCAGCCGAGCCGCCCTACTCTCTAGCAGCTGGTGTACCTACCGGAGCTCCCCGGCCCCTCCTTCCTCGGACTGGTGAGCTCACTTCCTCCTAGGCCACTGCAGTCATGGCTGCCCCCAGTGTCCTCACTTTTGATGCTGAGGGTCGTGCCGTTGACTTTGAGGTCTCGGTCGATGACCTCCAGCTGTTTCTCCAGTGCTATAGGACAGACGACCTCTCCTTGTTTGACCTCACTTCTAGTGCCTCTCCTGCCCCTACTGCCGATGCTGACGCCACTGTTCGCTCACAGTGGGCCACGCGCGATGCTTCTGCTCGCCTTGCTGTGCGCCGCCACTTACCGACCACTGAGCATGCACACAATAGCCAGTACAAGAGTGCTCAGACCTTGTACGACGCTGTAGTTGCACGCTACTCTTCCCCTGCCACTGCTTCACAGAGCCGCCTCATGCTACCGTACCCCTTCCCTGACCTTGCTGCCTTTCCCACTGTCGCTGATCTCATTACACACCTCCGCACTAGTGACACTCGCTACCGCGCTGCGCTTCCTGCTGAGTTCTGCGCCAAGAACCCCCCCCCCCCATGTACATCACCCTCTACTACATAGTCACCAGGCTCACTGACTCTCTCCGCGTAGTCAAGGGCCACTTCCTCTCAGTTTGCCCCACCACTCTCACCGTTGACCTCCTCGAGAAGGCCCTCCTAGCGGCAGAGAAGAGCATAGTCGCTGTAGGAGCCTCTCGTGGTGACCCTCGCACCCCCGTCTTTGAGGGGTGTTCTCCCTCCCCCCTCTTGCCCTCTGTCGCCTCTGCTGAGCAAGGCCACAAGGCCATTTCACATGCAAGATCATATATATAAAGGTAAACAAGCAAGTGTAGGTATAGAAAAAGTATAGTACAAACAAGATCAAGAAGTGAGCAAGTGAGGCCAAGTAGGCACAAGACCTAGCATAGCACAGAAGCGCTGATGATCACAAGGCGGAAGGGCCTCGGTGAAGATATCAGCAGTGTTGGCCTAAGAGGCCACATAGGTGAGGCAGAGCTGACCACGCTGCTGCAGCTCACGAGCCAGGAAGTAGCGAAGAGCAATCTGCTTCGTTCTGTGCTCCAGTCTGTGCTCCCGACACAAGGCCAGCATGGCCTTGTTGTCTACGTACAGAAATGGAGGAGAACGAGGCGGCTCTCCTAGGTCAG